TCAGTGCACTGAGAAAGCTAATTAAAGTGTGTGAATTGTGTGCAGCTTCTCATGGCCTAGTATATAATATCAATAAGTCTGAGTACATGATATTTGGAGCCGCAGGTGAGCATAGTCCTACGTGTGCACTTCCTGTAGTACTCAATGGTTCACCGGTGAAAAGGGTTAGCCACTTTAAATACCTGGGATACTATGTTACCGACGGCCTCAAGAATGAAATGGATATGCAGCGCGAACGGCGAGCACTATCGGTGAGAGCGAACATGCTCGCGCGCAGGTTCGTCAGATGTAGGTACTGCTGCAGTGAAGACAACGCTCTTTAGAACGTACTGCTCCCCACTGTACGCTGGCGCCATGTGGACGAGTCACACTCAGCGCTTACTGGATGCTCTGCGCGTGCAACACAACAATGCCTTTAGGGCGCTGTTGGGGCTGACACGTTTCTGCAGTGCCTCAACCATGTTTACGAATGCACGAGTGGACAGTTTCATGGCTGTCATCCGTAACAAGTTCGGCGTCGTTACTGAACAGAATACGTGTCAGCCCCAATCGCCTCCTTAAGACAATTGGTGGAAGGATTGACTGCTCTGTGATGCGACAGTTAAGACAGACTACAAACTCTCCTATAGAATTTAAGTACTAACATAGTTTTAAGGCTGTACCTACTAACATTAATTAGATCATAGTTGTCTTGATGAAATAAATAAATAAAAAAATAAGACATTAATAGTTATTTATTATGCAAGGCTGCAAAGTTGTTGTTGTCACGAGTGCTTGTATTGAAACATGAGCAAGCGAAGGATCGTATTCCAGAACACTACTCATTGCTCAAGTCAGGATTTGAGCAGACTTGAGTATGAATTCAAGCACTGGAAATACGACCCTAATGGCAAGGACTTGAGTATGATTTCTAGTGCTTTGAATCATACTCAAGTCCTGACTTGAGCATTGAGTAGAGTTCTAGAATACGACCCTAAGATTGAACCACGAGCAAAGCGAGAGGTTCAAAAATAGAATCCTGAGCTTAACGAAGGTTTCAAGGCACGAGATGCAAAACAACTTTACTGCCTAGAAAAACACACAACTTTTCACCTCACTATAGCGAGGAAAATGGTAGATGGAAGAAAAACGGTTGAACTAAGTATAACAAATAACTTTTAATAAACAAAATTAGTTAACGTTGTCAATTTAATGTCAACAACAATAAGAATAAAACATACCAACGGATTTATATTACATAAATAATGTACGACAAATCGCGTAGTTGAACGAGTCATTGTCTTCCTTTCATCGAAAGAAAAAGTTAGGTGCACCACAGTCCATCATCAAGTTCGAATCTCCAAAACCTTTTCCACGCTAGCGTCAAAAAGTTTTTGAAATTTTCAGATTTCCAAAGAGCAAGAAAGCTAGTAAGGTGAAAAGAGTATTTCCTGGCTGTTCGGCGCATCAATGCCAACACGCCAACACTTCGCTCAGAGCGAAGTGATGTCACATTATTTTTAGTTCTACAAATATAGGTTGTAAACATAAAAAGAAAATTAAGGTGTACATCACAATATGCTCAATCATCACAATATTAAAATAACCTTTTCAATTCTCATGCTCTAAAAGTACGTCAATATAGCCTTACTACGTAGCCGGAGTAAAATGCATGCTTTAATCCATAAGGAGTAAAAAGAGCAGGAGAGGAGAAAAACAAATACCGCGAAAACTTCAGAACTTTAGACTTAGAGAATGAAAAAAAATTTGTTTCCATAGTGTAAGGAATTTTGGTTCGTAATTTTGTTGTAAAGCGAAAACGATTGAAATATGTTTTTTCTCACAATCGAAGTGAAAAGTAAAGTCAAAAGCCAATAGAAACCAACCCTCGGGAGTAATAGACTCATTTCAGCCCCTTGATAAAAAATATAGGTACCTATACTATTATTAAAATAAGAAGTAAAGTACTTACGTATGATGATACCTAGATGGGGTAATTCTAGTAAAATCTCGAAATTCTTGATTGAATTCTTGTCATAAAATTAACATTTAATAGTAAAATAAACTTCAATTAACTGAATGTAAAAAATAACCTTTAAATTTTAACATTCGATCAACCAAAATGTTTTTTACGAAATTAGAGCTATCCTGTGGTAAAAACACGATATAAATAACTTAGACTGGTGATCGCTATTATTTCTTGGTTAATTTGATTTCGTCATTCCCTCGCCTACAAATTTTCTGACTAGCTACACTCTCTTTTCCTTAAAAATCTTTTATTTTAGAGGACCTCTATTTCATCAAAAACGATTTACTTACATAAATAAATACGAAGAAATTTACAAAAAATAAACGCAATTTCTTGCTAATAAATATTAATTCAATATCGAAAGCACGAATTTCCGAATTTCACCTACCCCACGCGCCGCGTTCGTCTCGTGTAAGCCCAACATCAACACGACTAACAAAATATCATGACAATCGACAAATCCTAATGCCATTAACGACAAATAACTGTATTTTTTGCTCATTTCCTTGTAAGTATGACTAAAACTTCAAATAAATCGTATTTAAAAAAAAAACATATTCTGTATATTATGCAAAATTTGTATATGAGCTCCGAGACTAACACAGATATAACCTAGAAATAATAAACCGGTTGTCATTGACTTTTGTATCTTCTAAACGAAGGAGCGACTAATTCTAAAATTTCGCGACTAGAACCAACTAATTCACGACTTTTTCTGAGTGCAATCAGATCTAAACTAGGGGCAGTGGTTCTCGAGATTCAAAAATGGTGCCGCCGGAATAAGCTTATTCCAGTGTGGACAGTAAAACACCTTAATAACTTCAAAACGGCGTAAAGTCTAAATCTAGATTCTAGACGACTAGAACCGACTAAATCACGAATTTTTTAGTGTAATCAGATCACAGGTGTTGTGATTCTCGAGATTGAGAAAAGGTGCCGCTGGAATAAGCTTATTCCAGTGTGGACAGTAAAACACTCTTATGAAAAGCGGACTGAGTACATCTAGTTTTTTACGACTAGAACCGACTAAATAGCGACTTTTTGTCTGGCCAGTCAAAATTCAAAAACTCGACCATGGTCGCGCTGGAATAAGGCACGCTCATAGCTTAGCGAACTCATATCTCGTTCAGATAGTATAATATGTAAAAAATCAAAAGACAAAAATATTTACTTTTCATTCTATAATATAATTATCGTAACAACTACTTTATAACAAAACAAAACTTTTGCAATAATAAGTGTCACTGTGGCGGAAAATGAAGCTTGTTTGTCAAAATACAATATAATAATCTCAGTACAGAATTCTAAAAAAACCGACCTCAAAAGTACGTGGAATTACACAATAATTACCAATCCAGATTCATCCCCTGAGTTCGCCACTATACGGGACTTGACACTGGAGATAATAAAAATCGGTTCTCACTACTCAAAGTATATTGAGAGAAAAACGCCTTGAATTAGAGAATAGCAAAATCAACGATTAAAATAATTGCTCCTGATAATGCAATTTAGGCGCTATTTATAAAAATGAATCTTCATGCATGAACAGCCACCCTTAAGAGGTTGATGATTTTCTTCAAAATTAAATGGAGGTACCCTCTTTCCAACAAAAAGACTCATGAAAATCGGTTCACAAATACAGTCAAGAGCAAGGCAAGTTTGACACTTTATACTTTGGACAGTTCTTATTGTAATCGGCATAGAGTAAATCTTAAGTGTCAAATTTGACGTGCTCTTGACCCTGTACAAGCCTAGTGGCCGTCATTACGGAAATAATAACAACTTAAATTACATCGCAAGCGCCAAATGGGAATAATTATGATGTTGAGGTTACATTGTTCCAATGGAACTGAGTACATGGAACTACTGAGAATAAACGGCCATATCGGGTAGTATATAAAGCTGAAATTTCAGCAACTATAATTGGACCGGTTATATAAGAGTTATTCTTAATCATTGACCTACCAACAAATGGAAACCGGGTCTAATACAAAAACCACGAAAAAAATTTCCGAGGTTAACCTATACAAACGTAATGACATGTAACGAAATATAAAAAACTAAAACATTTAATTTCAATTGTAACGTCATTGCAGTATTGCCTAAATTTGCTTACAATTTAAGGGCCCAAAAACACCATATTCAGCTTCTACTGGAAATTACTCGAACACAAGAGTCATGGAATAGCCTTTCTCGTAAATATTAATTAATTTTTTTATATTGTATATTGTTATGTCGAATTTTGTACAAATTCACTTAAAGGTATAATAAAGAGTTAGGCAGATACATACATACAATTATTACTACAAATGTGAAAATAAACGTGTACTATAAGAAATGTACCGATATTCCAACTAAAAGTAAACTCAAATATCCGTAATTCCGATTTATAACAAAACCGTTACGCTTTCGAGTAATTTTGATGCTTTTTACATAGACAAAATTAGCTTTTGTTTCGTAATCTTCGTAAAAACAATTATGAAAATTCGAGCTAATGTTATTCCGGGCAAATGTATTCTCTGACTTCTGATAGGTAATCCCATGCCGTAAAACGAGTACAAAAATATTTTGTTAGTTATTGCTAACGTTTCATAAAAAATCATTTTAAAAATAGGATTAAAATCAAAGCAACTCTACAGTTAGTTTGTTTTAAATATTTTAATCGCTTGTGGTTCGAACAATTGAAAATGACATAAGCTTCTTGAAACTGACGTAATGGGTCTCTTTCCATCTTTTGCGCATGCAATGAATAGAAAAAGGGCAGTTAGTTATTTCATTATTTCGTGTGCTTTTGTAATTTATATTTACGATTCAGTTATATATAAATTAAATACTATAAAACTGTACAAAATAACACTTTTAAATGATAACTATGATAACACAATATACTTGTTTATTGAAAATATGATACAAAATCCTGTTTTCACACTTTACTGCAGTAATTTTTTAATAAGTTTTTATTTGTACTGCATATATTGGTACTGCATGATTGACAACCGCGCTGTCACTCGAACAAACGAACACTATTGCGCGATTGACGCTCTGTGTGCGATTTTAACGCCCTACAGGTGCGGACACTTTTTAGCGCGAACCCGACGGCCATTTATTGGTAGATCAATGTTCTTAATATTAAATTTTTAAGGCATTTCTCCCCTCCCAAAGAATACCAAAGCTGCAAAGAACATGAAATTATCATAAGCAATAAGTTCAAGTAATTTCTTTAGATATAAATAAAGGCATCATTTTCATCCACAGTTAGTAAAACTTTTGTACTCTACAATTTCAACATACAAAACATTCTAGGCTTTATAAACATCATTGTGTTTATAGTTAATCTTCTTATCAATGCCCATGAGTTGACGAATGATGAACTCGGGCAGGCGCTTGTGCTTCCAGCGCGTCGGCAGTGGATTGTGGTTGGCCTTCTCTAGCTTGCTGGCAACGTAAGCCTCGGCAGAGAACTCATTGGCTTCCTTAACCATCGCAAGGAGACCGTTTTGGAAGATCTTCTCTTTGACTTGACGGCGACGTTGTTTTACCTGAAATAATTATTTTTCTTTGTGAGGTTTCTCGTAAACCATTAAGAAAGATTTAGATATCGAGTACTTAGGTTTCCGCAATTGTTACAAGTACGAAATGAAACTATTTTTCCAGATTTCAATCGCGTATATTTGTTTTTTCAAAAAAGGTTTGCTTGAAAAAACAAATGGAAGCCAAGGCAAAGTAATTAGGAAATAAAGCTAAAAAAATTATGATAATGATCGCATTCGTTGTCTATTTAATACGCCAAAACCTACGGTAACTTGTAATTTATTAATATTATTATTTTATCGCTATATTTATGTTATTGAATATCACGTCTTTATTACCATGATATAAATTTTTTGCGAAAATACTCCACTGTTGTAGTTTAGTATTTTATTAAACAGGGTATAAATTTGAGACGGGGCAGCAAGGCCAGCTACCTTAATTGTTGTAGTTACAGTATATTATCCATTAGTATCCATGAATTTTGAAGATATTTCCTTATTATTTATCCCATCTCTGGTACCTTTACAGCTACCAGCGGCTGACAAGAGATGTCCCTTTATTAATTGCAATGCTTAATTGAATATCATGGTATTATTACAGAGATGCAGTTGTCAATGTTTCTTATCAATCTATTACTTTTCTTATTAGCTCTAGTTTGCAATTTATGCATTTTGAGAGCATGAAATTAAATGGAGGTTTCATAACAGAAACAAAGGTGATTCAAAGCACACATGCCTGGGAAGGCTGCATATCCTCAAGTTCTTGAACACTTCATTAAAGCCTACAGTGCTAAACACTGTAAAGAAGCTCAGGTCTGCATTTGTTAATAATATTTATTTTAATGGGCACACAATACTGTATACTGAGCAAGTGTATGCCCCAGCCCGAGGAGATTAAAACAATTTTTTTTTTTTTTTTTTTTTATTGTGACTCGGCAAAATGACTGCAACGCCCCTGATGGAAAGTGCGAATACAGTCCAGAGATGAGTTTTTGAATTTTTTGAATTGAAGCCAGGAAAATAATTTGGTATTACTTTTAGCTCTGAGTTATAATTAGTACTAATAACAGTAGATCAATCACTGGTTATTGTGATACAAGGTCTGTACGAGCCTTCAATGAAGCCACCCTAATAATATATTTGTACTTTTTTTAAGATAGCAAGTGCCAGGACGAATAGGTTGTGTGCCTGGTGGTAAGAGAGACACTGTTATAAGCTCAGGTGGCCGCTACAGGCCTAACTGCATTGCTGCTAGAAACTACTGTTTGATGTTTAGCCTAAAGTAAGACGATTTGTAAATGTTATGCAGTACAAAGCAATGTAATAATTATTTAGTTGTTTAATATAACTTTATCATTTTATATCTAGATTACCTTAACCAAACCCTTTGCCAAACTGACAAGAATGATATTACATAAACACTTTGCCACTGCTTACTAAGTCTATGCTTGATTGAAATAGTTAGTCTACTTACTCTGGCCCAACGATGCCTCATCCGCTTCCACAGCTTCCTTCTCTGATGCTTCTTCATCTTCTTTCGTCTAATAACAATTAGCCTAACGGCGTGTTTCTCCTCCTGCTTGACAGCGGGAAGGCCAATCTCATTGTTCCTCCAGTTAGTATCTAGCAGCGGTAAAATCGACCTAGGGTTAATAATAGGGATGTATTTCACTGGATCCTCCTTAATTTTACCCACAAGAGGCTTCTCGTTTATCCCTACATTAAGACTTCGTGGACTAAAGGATATCGTCTTGGCCTTGTTGGAAAATATATTAACATCATTATGAACACTTTGAATTATCTTCGGCTTCAATTCCTTAGTGACATTAAGTGCAGTTTTAAGATTCATCAACCGTAAATCTGTAAAACCAAAATGAGAAGTTCTGTAGGTATTTTTTATAGCAAAAATACGCAACATTGAAACATAACCTCCAAATTTATGGTACTTACATTTTGCGGTATTATGAAACGAGTTCATCATTTTAATAGCTTTAGTACACAATTACGACATGATATAACAAAATTTAAAAGTAATTAATTGTAATACACGTTTCTTTCGTTTGGTAAACTTGGCAACCGGACTTTTTTAACGTTTTGTTTTTCTATTTTTAATACGTGCTATGGAACTTAGTAAATCTGCTCAATTTTCAACACTCACCGACACACGGTGAATCGTCTAGTCTAGAGTCTAGAACAAGCTAGCTGGACAAAAGTAACATTAACATTTTATAGGAAAGTTAATTAGGGTAAGTACGATATTAGTTGTCACATCGACAGGTATGATTTTTGCACTAATGACATTGATCATTAATACTAAGGATATGTATTTATATACAATTAGAGATTTATCTCACAGGACATTGGCGAAATCGCAATTTTTTTGTATAATTTTTATAATAATATTAAACTACCGCACATAGTTATTTTTACTTGACATTGGCAAAATCATTGATTATTTCGATGGAGCCATAACATTTAAAAGAAGAAGAAGATAAGACAACTAGATTAAATGCATGGAATTAGTTGCATTTTCGCTCTTCATATCGTAACGTTTCCCGAGTTGATTTTAAAAGTTGTGTTTATTTAAAGTGATGGATTCAATAAGGGTTTCAATAACCAAGGGTAAGTGTTATTTTTTGGTACTATTGTATTCAAAAAGCAACGAGGCTTTAATAGGAAATTTGTTAAATTCACTTTTTTTTACATTTTTCAAATTCAAAAGACGAAAAGTAATAATCCCCTCTTCTCCCTGAAACGATAATTTTTCCTGTGATAAGTACATTTCTCTAGTTTATTATTCAAGCGGTATTTCTTGCACGAACTTTCTTTTTTTTTGTAGAAAGCAGTTTCATTGTCTCAAAGAGGGACTTTCTTTGAAGAATGCGTGAAACACTCAAAAAATTACCGAAACAAAGCTGTGTAGCAGTTTATATGCTTACAACATGATCTGAGTGGCATAACAGAATAGTCTGAGAGGAAAATCAAGGAAACAATTTCTCCTTTTCCTTCAAAATTATTGGAAAAATGGAAGAGTTCAAGAAGAATGTGAGACCGCTTTCTAGTTACTAATGCAGAGTGGCTAGAGGGTGCAGACATACCTTTTGATGTGTCACAGGACATAGTGGAAGCGTCTACTTCTTCCCAATTTCCATCTGGTCTAGGAAGACCAATGGTAGACTTGACAAATGCAAGTGCCAAAACAAAAAGGCGGCGTGTTGACGATTTGGTCAAGACCAGGAGTTCTGAAGAACTAACGGCGGCTGCTGAAATATCTTCTCGGTTGAGAAGATATTTCAGCAGCCGGCGCAGGAAAGAGGAGTGTAGCCAAATTAATCAAATAAGTTAGTGAAAGCCCAGAAAAGTACAGTGACTTGCAAAAGTGGAGTGAACAACACAAGCAACAAAGGTGTTTGACAAGTGAGGAGGCTCTGGCGTACTTTATCGACTCTAAATCTAAAAGTACCTATAAACAGACACGGAAGTGGAGTATGCTAGCTGGGCATCAGGTATTTCCATCATTTTATAGTCTTAGAAAAGCCAAACCAGCCTGTTTACCACCAAATGAACAAGTGACAATAACTGAAACGCGAACCAAAATTCCATATTATATAAGACTGTTGAGTGATTAATATCAGCGCAACGTGAGGTTATTGACGCTTGTTCTTCTGGTGGAGACTTAATACCTTTAGTTAGCAAGTGGGGTTGTGACGGAAGTACTGGTCACAGCACATACAAACAAAAATTCACCAATGCTGATAATACGGATGAATTTTTGTTTGTTTTGTCACTTGTACTGATCCAATTACACAATGAAAGTGGTAACATTGTTTGGTAGAATCCTCGTCCATCATCCACTATGTATTGTCGACCAATAAAGTTTATGTTCATCAAAGAGTCCAAAGAAATAACAGTGTCCGAGACAAATAAAGTGCTGGAGGACATAAATAAACTATTGCCGACAATATATAGTGATAGACACAATGGTCTTGAAATCTCCGTCAAACATGTACTACTTTTGACGATGATTGACGGTAAAGTCTGCAATGCTTTGACCGACACTGCTTCAGCGCAAAAATGCTATATTTGTGGACGTACCCCAAAGCAAATGAATGAAGAGCCCCACGAGTTTGTAGTTAATAAAATAACCTGAGTTTTGGTTTATCGGCATTGCATGCTTGGATACGTTGCTTTGAATGCTTGCTTCACATCACCTATCGTCTTGGTGTAAAAAATGGCAATTACGAGACGCAAATGATAAAGCTCTTGTGAAACAAAGTTCTACAACTATTCAAGAACGTTTTAAAGAAAAAATGGGTTTAATTGTAGATAAGCCAAAGCCAGAGTTTGGCAATACTAATGATGGGAATACTGCTCGTAAGTTTTGTGCAAATCCTGAGAGAGTGTTTAGATGAGACATTGATAACGAATTTCGATATTTTGCTAAGGACACTTTCATCCGGATATGATATCAATTAGAAAAATTTCAACATCTAGCACAAGAAATAAGAAAACTGTATTTGAGTCTGTATTCGTGGTATTACATGCCTACAACTGTACATAGTACAGATATTATTCAATCAGCTCATTTGCCAATCGGCCAGCTTTCTGAAGAAGCTCAAGAAGCACAAAATAAAGATTGCAGAAGATTCCGAGAAGATAATACACGAAACCTACAGCCACGAAAACAGACTTACTTAATATGTTAATAATTACATCTGATCCTGTAATTAATAGCCTCAGGGACTTTCCGCAAAAGAGGACAGGTTCTCTCCCTTCCGAAGACTTAATTATTCCAAGTGTTCCTAAGAAAATCATAGTTCTTAATGAATCTGTTACAAATTACACAGATTATTGTGTTGACGACTCTTCGGAGGACGAGCTCAGTGATGACGAATAATATCATTTAGATATATTCATTTCTAACTGATATAACTTAGAAATGTAAAAGTTTTAAATTAGTAGAATAATAAGTAAGTTCAATGTATTACATTAGTTCATTAGTTATTATTTAGTAAGTAATTAGTTTAATTATATATGTATTGTGCTAATTTATTTTTATATTAACATTATTCATTAGTTATAATAACATTAGATTTTCTTTCTACTTATTTTATAAATAAAATATGTTGCTCCTTTTAAAACGCATTTCAATTTCTAAAGTACCTGGTTCGGTAGAATCCGAGATTATTAACACCAGAAATGTTCATAATTCGACTTAGCAGAGGCTTTCGAAACTAAATGCCGCCGAAAATACTTTTGTCCAGCTAGCTAATTCTAGACGAATCACTGTGCGCCATATAATAATTTACACCCTATTGATCCAGTACAAGTACGCGCGCCGCAATCTTTTATTCGCTTGATTTGCTTTGGCGATTTTTTTAGGGTTACCAGCATTGACTTACAAATGTTACCAGTGTTAAGTTTGTAAAAATAATAATAATTCAAATTTGTAAAAATAATAATTATAAATTATTATAAATAACAATATATTAAAATTAACAATATTCGTCATCGTCGCCAGCGTCAAGTTGAAATTATTAAAAATTACAAAATCAACTGGCAAAGTTGATTGTGTGATTTTTTCAGTATTACGTATTACCTCATTTACTGTTCACATAACTATAGATCACAATACATGGCTATCAACCAGTGTTCATACGGGCGCTTAAAAAAAACTACTGAGTTGGCCTGTACGAACTGTTTATTGAACATTGCGGCCATTATCGCAGGTTCGAGGGCCACATTAATTGGCGAATATGTGTGTCTGTAATAAGTAAAATAGGCACCTATATTGTCTAGAACAGATAATAAGGTATACGTAGTTACGTACATTGTCCACGAACATTAATACTGGAACATTTTACTCAACATTGTTCATATCTGTTTATACATGGCTAATTGACTACAATTTCTGTACTCATTTTAACAGACTTCAAAAAAGGAAGAGGTTAGTCAATTCGACTTTTCTTTTTGTATACGCGATCACTTCATTACTGAAACGATTTCGATGATTATTTTTTTGTAGCCCCTTTCCTACAAAAAATAATCACCGAAATCGGTTACTCGAGTACCTCTGTAGTGGCCCCATCAAAATTTGAAAAAAATATTCCAACTCTAAGGGTTGCAAATTAAGTAATGAATACGGTTTATTGAATTCCACCCACTTTACGTAAACAGATTGCAATAAAACTTGGCATATCGATGTAATTCTAATACTTAAAAATAAAATGTTATTGTGAACTACAGATGATCTGATGATGGAAATGGCAGACAGACGAGATCAACTTTTTTCCCCAAAGTCCCATGTGCCTGTAATTTCACAGGTACCTTCCCCTACAAAACCTGAACGCAGTAATGCTCGCATTACGGCTTGGCGGCACAAATAGATAAGGTGACAGTTACTTCTCTGGAGGAACTCTTTCACAGGGAGTTCTACAGCTACTAACGTGCTTCCTCAACGTGAACGTTCGTTTTGACAAGGACTTCCATACGAGGTTCAGTTATCGTTGAGGAGAACGCGGTAACGAGTACCTACCTACTGTATTTTTTAGAATAAAAGTAATAATTAAGTAGGTAATAAAGAGACATCAAATATTTGACAAACGTGTATCAAGTAATTTCATTTTATGGGTATTTAAATTTCAATTGAATTTTAATGACTGCAATTTTAAAACATTGTACACCCGACTTGGATAACAACTGTGAATCAAATTGCATGTAACACCTTTAGCTACTTTATCGGTACATACAATAAACGTTTCTGATTTCATATAGTTAAGAATATGTTGTTCGAATCAATGTGGCGCATTCGTGTATACAGACCATGAACTTAAACAATGATACCGTTTTCATATATAAAAAAAAACTAACTTCAAAACTTTGTGGAATTACATCTATTTGCTAAGTTTTACAAAGACAGTTAAGGGAAAGTGGATGAAATCCAATAAACCTGTATTATCCCCTAATTTACTACCCTTAGTGGTGGCATATTTTCTTCAAATTTAAATGTTTACCCTGTTTTCAACAAAAAGGAATAATCCAAGAGTAATCGCATAAAGGTGGGTATCGATTAGGTTCGCGCACCAACTCTGCTCCCAGCATATTTGTAACCGCTCAAATGGAGACGTTACACGCATCACTACAAGAAAACCGAGTGCTAAAACGTCTTGGTTCGCTCGCCTTGGCTTGCGTCCACGACGAACACACTGCGCTCTACTTTGTGTTCGTGTAAAAACCGCTAACACGGGGAGCGTGAAATGTTGCTTGCGACGAGGAGCTGCGGATGCGCGGAGCACCATTGGTGCGCGAACCTAATGGATACCCACCTTAACATACACACAAAAAAATACAGACGAATTAAGAACCTTCTCCTTTTTGAAGTCGGTTAAATACAGTAGAGTTCCAGATCCTGAACACTCCGTAAATAAACAATGACTGTTAAAATAGTACGTGTTTATTTATGTGCGACGCAATAAAATTGAACAAACTGCAAGTAAGTAAACTATTAAAACTGAGGTGATCTTCGAAGTTCTCCGTCATGTGGTGCTTTCCCCACATCACCAACCACTGCGACGCCCATATTGCACGCTGTAGGTAATAAAAATAATTCGTTATAGGTATTCACATAGTACTTATTTACATACCTAAGTAATTATTATTTTACTCGTGTCTTACTAATAATTGATGAAATTGCTTTTTTGTTGACAATAATCAACATATTTTCGCCGTCGGCAATGAATAACAAGTACCTACCTATGTAATTTTTCTAAATTTGCAATTAAATGTGTGTGCATTCCTATTTCCAATATATTGCACATTAGCTGTAATTTTTCATGTTAAAAATCGGTAATCTTGCAACAACGTATACCTATTTACATAAGTAAAAGGTATAGAATATTTTAGGTGCGTCTCACCATTATAAGAGACCGCGTTAGCGAGGTAGCGAACCCTCTCGACGCTAACTCTGTCCAATTCATTGCTAAAGTCCTTAGCAGAGTCCAACACTATATCGTTCGCGATTTGCAGCGCTAGACCCTCTGAATACGCCATGCAATCATACTCACTGATATTCAAGCCTACCTCTGAAAAATAAAGTAGCATGTTTGTGCTAAATGTATAATGAAAAGTGGCATTTTGGTCACGAAAACACACCAACTGTCAAATGTCAAAAGTGCAATATTATCCGCACTTGTTGACCAGGCTCTAGGGTTCACTTAGTCACAATTTACATTTCAAACATATGAAAGATTAACGGGTCAGTTCCAAATGTATACCTTAAACAATAATTTAGTATAAACCTTAGAATAATAACGCATAGAAACCTAGTCCGCACACGCTAAGTGAGGCAAATTGAAGCGCTCCCAATGGGCCTACACGAGCGGGCGGGCCGTCAGTACTCAAGGTCAACTTGCACCGCGAACAGCTCAAGAATTTTAGCTAAAAATGACGAAATGTGCGGTAAATGAGTGTAAAAATACGTCAGACAAACATAAAATAGATACTAACATCATATTCCATAAGGAAGTAACGCGTTTCAACTTGTATTTTTATATAAATATTCACTAAAACCGAAAATTAACCTGCTACGAAAACTAGCCTACATGAATTTGATTTTTGCCTCACTTGTGACACTTCGTTCGATTTGAAACTATCATTCTATGCGTTATTATTTTAAGGTATAAACTATACATATTTATAAACCTATAAACGCTACGCCACGATGCGCAAGCAATGCACTTCCTTGGTGCGCAGGGTGCGCTGCGGGCCAGCGCTGACAGCATCTCGAGCATGATAGTTGGCAGGTATAACCATCATTTGGTACAATTGAATAAAAGGTACATTGACTTACAAATAAATGGACGACGGGTCTAATACAAAAACCACGAAAAAAATGTCCCAAGTCAACCTATTCGAAATTTAAATTGTAATGTCATCGCAGTATCGCGCTGTCAGTAGAACAAATGAAGACTAAAGCGGAGTGTCGCGCTCTGTATACGATTTTAGCGCCTTACAAGTGCGGACACTTTTTAGCGCGGACCCGACGTCCATATAATTGTAAGTCAATGAAAAGGTACCATTATTATAATATGTAATATTAAATTGAATCTAAATAAGTTATATCGTAGGCTCATATTATGTTCGACGTTTAGAAATGTCTTTTGAAGTTTTATTTAACGTGAATTATAAAACAAACTTGATTTCACAGCAGCAAAAAAAACCTTTAAAGTGGCTCCATCATTTTCGTTCAGTAACTTCAACTTTTGACAGGCATCAATGTCAATTAATGTGGAAAAATAAAGAAAAAATATTTGAAAAATATTTTTCTGAAAAAATATGATTTTTTTTCAAAATGGACATACTTTTTCAGTGACCTAACACTATTCTCACGGTAATCGAAGCTTAAGAGTCGATACTATCTCAAATGGCTTTGGTTGATTCCGTTTAACAGTGAAAGTGTTGAACCAATCAATTGGAAAAAAATATATAGTAAAATTGAGGATGTACACTGATTACTATATCGTATGAAAACAGGATTCCGAAAAATTTTCATGGTAGAAAAAAACACAAACTTCCCTCGAAGTTTAACATATAACCTAAAAAAAACCGCTATACCATAGCGGTTTTTGTATTATATATATTATATTTATCATATTTAAAGTGCCATATTAAACATAACCAATAATTTTTTTATATCAACTGAACTAAATAGAACATGTATAGTACGATATACATTTTTCAATTGACTTTATTTTCGTTTGTAAAAAAATTAATTATGAAATAAAGCCAGTGTCCCTGCTGCTCCATCTAAGCAAAATAAACTGTGTTAGTACGGGAAAAAATTGAATTCGAACTGAGATAGTATGGACTCTTATGGCACGTCCATTGCTTTTTTCATCCGTGGGGTTGACACGCTGTAAAATTAATTTTTATATTAAAAAAAATTAAAAAAGTAGATTATACTAATTGGAATAAATAATTTTTCCGTTAAACGTTTGTAACAATTATTTAAAATTGCTAATAAGCAACAAAAAAGGTACGTACTGAGCCGTCGTCTTCCGATCTCGATGGTATTGCAGTCAATGCAGCGTAAGTTAAATAGAAATTCGGCAGCCCTGAACGCAGCACACCTTATAGTTTCTGAAGGACTCTTTATTAAAATTCCTGGAAAATGTAGGTAAACCGCAAATTTAAACTATTTGTCTTAACACTACTTCAATTTTACAAGTGGATAATTTCGTGCGCTAAAAGCGGTTACATACAAACGTTCAGTCCAATATTGCGGCATACGGGTAGATTTTTGTTGCGCTGCCAACGCCGTGTGTAAATTTATATTAACAGGATTCGAAGGAATAATTATATATTTATCGCGATTACCTTGATAAATATTCCTTGATAATTATATCAATATTTCGTATAAAATTAATTGGAACAACAAAATGCTAGCGGTGGCAAAGTCGTGTCATGTCTTTATATCAGAGACAATAAAAAAACTTACAAAATACATTTTTAACCAACTTCAAGAAAGAGTGGAGACTCAATTCCACAGTATTTTTTTGTTAAGCGATAACTTCTGTGAACCGATTTTGATGATTTTTTTTTGTTGGAAAGCGGCATCGAGTATAATAACCACAAATAGAGACGAAATGTCATTTAATTTGTTTGAAAAGTGTTCTGCCGTATCATTACTGTGACAACTACGTTACTAAAACACATCTTTGATACTTGGGAAAGGTTCCAGAACGCTATAGGTGTTTTCTGTGACCTCTCAAAAGCATTTGATTGCGTTGATCATAATTACTCTTATTAGGAAGCTGGAACATTACGGTGTAAATGTGTACGGGGCAAGGCGTCGAAACTTGTCTCGTCATACCTCAACGGTAGAATTCAGAAAGTAGACATAAATGGAGTGACTTCTTTGGGTTCTCCGGTAAAAATGGGTGTTTCGCAGGGCTCAATACTTGGACCTTTCTTATTTCTGATTTATATTAATGATCTGCCATTCTTTGTTAAGGACCATTGCGAAATAGTGTTGTTTGCTGATGACAGATCCTTGATTTTTAAAACAGACAGACATGACATGAACTATAACCATGTTAATAATACCCTCTCTGAGGTAGTTTATTGGTTTAATGCTAACAATTTATTGCTTAATGCCAAGAAGACAAAATGTGTTAAATTTGAATGACCTAACGTAAAATCGACTAGTCCAAGCATAGAAATAAATGAAGAAAAGTTAGACCTTGTTAATAAAGCAGTCTTCTTGGGAGTGACCTTAGATAGTACACTTCAATGGTTTCCACATATATTTTCCCTGGCCAGCAGATAAAACTCCGCTGCATAATACGTGAACTTACCGTTGTTAGTACAGCTAGACTAGTTTACTTTAGTTCTTTCATAGTATAATGTCCTACGGGATTCTCATGTGGGGTAAAGCGGCAGATATTCAAACCATATTTGTATTGCAAAAACGAGCGATTCGTTTTGTGTACCGTCTAGGCTCTGGGGTTTCTCTCAGAGAAAAGTTTAAGGAGACTGGTATCATGACTGTGGCATCACAGTACATTTACTCAAATATTTTATATGCCCGTAAAAATATACATAATTTCAATTAGAAAGCAGATATCCACAATGTTAAACTTAGAGCTAAGTCCAAACTCATGGAACCACGATTTCGTTTAACCAAGGTAAACAACTCTTTTATGGGGAACTGTATACGTTTCTTCAATAAGATTCCGGAGCATATATTAAGTTTATCATTTCCTAAGTTTAAAAACTACATTAAAAATATTTTGATCGAAAAATCATATTACAAAATTGAAGACTACGTGTTAGATAAAGATGTATGGAAAGACGACATGGCTCCAGAATCCACACAAATTTAATTCAAAGTGTATTCCATAGCATTTAAGTTTATTTGAAAAGAGCAATCACTAGAGTTTCTTGCTCGTTCTTCTCAGGGAGGTCAGCGTAGTGAACGAGCAGTAGCTTAAATGTGACGTTTTCAAGTGTAAATTTATTTTACCTATGGAATAAATAATCTTTGACTTTGAACTGCGCTCCGATTGACCAGCCCGAGTGCGAAATAATTAACGGGTGTCGTCAATGGATGTCGTCTATTGTTTCACTTCAAATCGACCAGTTCGAGGTAACTGGTAAGCTTTGCTATAATGGACGAAAATTGTAAAATTACATATAAATATGATATTTAATTACCGATGAAATTTGATTCCGATTATTTTGTAATTAGTTTTGCTGTTTTCCCCACACCACCGAATGGAACAGCACGCCATTGTTAGAGATATCTTTATTACAATAACAAGTAGAATATTTTTGAAATATACGGAGACGTACACATAGGTCCGTTGTTGGCGATGTACAGGGTTAAGAGCACGTCAAGCCTTACACTTAAGACTTAAATCCAACTCTATGCCGCTTACGATAAGAATGGTCCAAAGTACAAAGTGTCAAGCTTGATGTACTCTTGACTGTACTACTTCAGCTTTCTAATTTGTAATTTCAGTGCAAACGAAAGTTGATATTTATAAGTGATGTGTCACTGATGAGTTACCAGGGTTGGATGGCCCTTATTTCGTCTCTGTTTCTGGTCATATACTCGATGAAAAGAAAGGGTAGATACCTAAGTATTGGTCCCATTTAAATTTAGAGAAAATATTCCTCTAAGAGTGGCAAACTACCCCTAGTTGAATTATTCCGATTGATGAATGAATCCGGTTCCGCGCACTTTCCGGTAACCGATTTCAATAAAATTGCAAGTAGATGTAATTCCACGAACTTTTTGAGGTCGGTTTTTTTAGTACTCTATAAAAAATTAAGAGAAAATCTGTATCGATTAATATTAGCATGATAATTATCAAAGAAAATAAATATCTTTATAACTGGATGCTGATAAGCAATAACGTGTCAACCAACATGATCACAGTTTTACGAAAATGGTGCCTAAAATTTTTTTCCTTGTTTTTGATAGTTTGTTCTAAAATTTACTTGTATAACTTTTTTATAAAAAAAACGACCTCAAAACTTCATTTTTTAACCGACTTCAAAAAGGAGGAGGTTCTCAATTCGACTGTATGTTCTTTTTTTTTTGTTTTTTTTGTATGTATGTTACGCGATAACTCCGGTATTTGTGAACCGATTTTCATGATTCTTTTTTTGTTGGAAAGGGGGTAATTCCATAGTGGTCCCATTTTATTTTGAAGAAAATCAACCACCTCAAAGAGTGGCTGTTCACGCATGAAGATTCATTTTTATAAATAGCGCCGGACTTTAATTTAGGAGCAATTACTTTTAGCAATTATTTAGTTTATTTTGCTATTTCTCCAATTCAAGGCGTTTTTCTCTCGATATACTTTGAGTAGTATCGTAGTGAAAACCTATTTTTATTATCTCCAGTATCAAGTCCTGTATAGTGGCGAATTAGGGGATATTTCAATGAAACTTGGCAAATAGATGTAATTCCTCGTACTTTTGAGGTCGGTTTTTTTAGTACTCTGTACTGAGATTATTATCTTTTCGAATTATCACTATTTGCCAAGTTTTATTGAAATAGTTTAACATAAAGTACGCGAAGCCGGATTGATCGCCATTAGTTATTAGATAGTAATTAAGACATGTGTTCCTGGTTTCCCAGAGGGTTAGACTATGGATCTCGATTAAAAGTGATTAACACAAAAGCATTTACAATACCGTTTTTTTTTAAATCACTACACTTCTAAATTTACATACCAAATATTCCACATTCCATATAAGATATATTGAAAGCTTTAAATTCTGTGTGTGGGTCACCGTCTCCGAGCAATGAAAGAGGTGTCTGGGGAGTCAGATCTTGACAACCTGGTGTTAGGCTGTTGCCCGCGCCACAAGAGTGTGCCAAAATTGAATAGGCCAAGAGAGTGCTGAAATAGAGAACCAGTACTCGATATCTTATACATATACAAACTGGTAAAGGCTGATGATACCTAATACACTGAGAAAATGTTTGAAAGAACCAACCTAAAATCGCAAGTACCACAACTTGGCACCGCGATAGCAACATAAGTAGGCGCCCCGATGCCTAGATCGTAACTCTCAAAACCTGATCGGAAATTTGATCGCTGTGGGCACTTACACGATTTTGGTCTATTCTGAAAGTTGAATAAGCCATTATTGATAAAAGTAGTAAAGTTACACACTCTCAACATAGCCCCGCAATAGGGAAACCCTGTGTGCGGGTCCCATGGACACACACATAGACAACCACAAATTACACCGAAACTCACGAAAGAAATAAATGTAGTACAAATATTTCTCCCGGCCCGGGAATCGAACCTGGAAACTCCGCGTGACAGTCCATGGTAACCGTTCGGCCACGGAGGCAGTTAGATTATTATAAATTGAATTGTACAGTGTTTATAGTTGCTTTATATGTAATAAACTAATTAGCGAAATTAAGTACTCCACTCTTGTCTACTTTTTCATTGCCAATTGAATTTTAAGTAATTTTCATGGTGAGTCTAAAAAATAAAGTCCAGTGTCGTGGGCTATAACAATTTTTATTATAAAATTCTATCAATCACTAACCGATTTTCCACTATCAACCATAGACGCCATTTTCAATATTTCTTCGAATGGAACACCATAAGAACCTATGGTGCAGGTCATAGGCTGGAAATACTTATTTACAAAAGCGTCGATTGTATCCGTGGTCATGTCGTAAATCCTACTCTCCTCGCAGTAGACGGAGTTTGACAGACCACCAGTAAAACACGCCTTTTGAATCAAATCCATAACTCTTTGCTCTGGTGATATTCTGTATAGATCTTCATGGACACACGGCATGATTTCGTCTAATTCATGTTGTAAATAAAAATTTCTTAAAAAAAAGGTTTTTTATTAGTAATGACGTTAAGTATTCAAAGCCACTTAGGCCCGTATTAAAAAACAGCTCCTGAGTCCAACCAAACGCATCGCGGTTGAGATGTTCTCAAATCTCCTCTACGAGATTTATAAAGTTACAAGATCATCAGCATATTGCATGATATCATCTATAATGATCGAGACACTGCCTGATTGATTCATTCATAATCTTGAGACGTGACGGTTTTTAATTACCGAATATTTTAAAACTCTCAAATGATGCGTACTCGAAAGATTGTTATTAATAAAGACGGTTGTCTTAAATAAGCTCTTAATCCGGCACGTGGATTTATTAATTAATACGGGCCTTGGTGACAAAAATAGAGACATTCTAAGTTTAACATGCGAAGTATAACTCGAATATTTAAGTGTAGGCACATTACCTGGGACCACAGTCGAGCAAGTAGCACTTGAGTTCATTGAACAAGTAGTACGGACACCGCAGGGTGTAGCAGACAGTCTGACGATCCGAGTTTACGCTTAAATATGCGCCTTTTTCCTGGATGAGTCTGTTTCATAATTTATATACATTTTAAGTATGAAATATAAAAATCGGAAGAAATGTCGTCATGCTTGCACAATAAGAGAATACCTACTTAGATATTGTGGTTCTTACCAAGCATCGAGAAAGACGGTGACAACGCAAAACAAAAGTAGTCATTCGCTCAAAACATCTGAGTCTATCAAACACAATGATTACAACTACAATTTAAATCGTAATGAATAAAATCATGTTATAATACATTCAATCAAGAAGCGTTATTGATTCCATTATGCTCAACTAGGTATGCAATATCAAGTTTTTGGGCAGACGTTCAGAACACAACAAAAACGTGATTATTTCTACTGGACAGCAGATTTTGTCATCATTAACGTTCAACTGGCATGGGTCTAAGATTTACAACATTAACCGCCAAGTTGACCCAATACTGACAGGGGATTTTATTCATTTTCCAATGGTTGTGAATCGTCTTCAACGTGGAAGTATCACGATATTTTCACAGGGACACGAACCGTCGATCCTCCAATTGAGAAGTACCTAACCTTTCTCCCACTGGTCAACTACTCTCTTCTAACAAATCGTAATAGATAGGAAATCTCAGCTCATTAGATTGCTCACCTGGATCTGATGAATCCAGAACTGGAGCACCCAGTGAGACTACTGGCAGTGCGAAGGAAATGACTCACACCAAGCTCATCGTCTGCTTCACATCGTGATCCTACCTACGGATACGTAGGTAAGTAGCTTACTGACTAGTAGCAGATACCAAGCCAAGAAAAAATAACTGAACTGGACCAGGTAAACGAGAATCTAAGGTTGTTCAGGACGTACAAGCCAAGATGATGCTCTTTGAAGCTTATTGTCAGTCTTTCTACATGTGCAGTCGGTGGGTCAACTATACCTACCTACGCAAAGAACATACAACGGTCTGCGCGTGCAGTACAACAGCGCGTTCAGGGTATTGCTGGGTCTGCCACGATTGTGCAGCGTGCACGATTAGGTTTACAGCCTTCATGCGCAAGGGCCGCCTGCGCGACTGCCCCAACCGCATCCTGAGCCCGTTGTTCGCACGCTGGGACTCGCCGATGTTCGCGCATTGGATGCGACTGCATTAATATTTATTTGTTTTTGTGTTGCTGTGTTTGTATTGTTACTTCTTCCGTGACTTAAACGGTCTAGTAGAAAGGAATCTGAAAGTGATCTTTATTGTCAAAGCAATTCTTTATAAAACTCACCGAAAACATAACAGTACAACAACATATTTGAGCTCCCATCGGTTTAACCGCCGCTACTTTTAGGCCATTCAGAAATGAGGACCTGTGCACGTCCACGGGGCCATAGTCCGACTTGGGCCATCCACACAATTTACTATTTTTATTCGGGGTCCTTGAAAATCTCCTAATTAAAGTGCTACTATAAGATTTTGTGTGTAAGTTGTTATAAAATAGTGACAATTTATACATTATTCAGGGTTTTAGTAAAACTGATCGCATTCGGATCGGAAATAGGTGACAGTAAAAAATGACAGTAGTGACGTTGTCTTGCGGGGATTATAGGCGCAGAGTTCTCTTTAAAGAGAATTCATATCTCGATTAATGGCATGCCGCAGGATTTACTTAGCTCACAAAGCTTTCCGCGGGACCTATCGTACCACAAAGCAAACCACGGGTTGTGTTGTGGTTATTTTTGAAGTCCCTACCGTACTACCAAATCGTAGTGCGGTAATATACAAGGTTGAAGTTGCACGTGGCCAGGAGACCACCACAGACCGATGATGTTATTTCAACGAAACATGTGAAAGCTTTTCTTGTTAAATAAAACTGCAGACACACTAAAATAATATATTCTTCCCGAAAAACCAATACATTCCGTCGTCCGCCGCCATTACGGCCACAAACTACTGACAGTTCTTGTGCGTTGTAGCAATTACCAACTTATTTTTTTAATAATTAGAATGAATGTTATTATAATCATATTCCTTATATGTTAATTAATGAAACATTAAAAAAACTTCATTCCTATTGCATATATAACAAAATAAACAGTATTTCATTTATGAAGAACACTAAAACGTAACTATATAATTTACTTAAGTCTTGCAACTTTAAAAAATATACTTAAAGTTATCATTCATTGTTATGTAATCTAACACATGCTTTATTTTGGGAGAGGATGTATTTTTTTAATATCCATCAATTTTGAAGTGTGCTGGTGGCACTACAAGCACGTGGAACTCATCAATTTCATGTCTAAGAGCAATGGTCCTATATACTTAAATTTAGATCTTTGTGATTTAAAGCTCTTAATGGTACTGCAACTGTTAGGGATAGGCGTGTCGCTTACCACCAGGCGCACGTTTGTCACGTCACTTGATATCATTATAAAAAAATCTACTTATTTTAATATCAATTATTAGTAAAGTGGGAGTTACGTAAATATTACCTATTTACTTTTTGAACGTGAAGTTATGGGGCCTACTACTTTGGCGTTTATTCTATTACTCAGTGCTGAGATTTATAAAATGAAGTTTCACTACGACCAAGTCAAAATGGCGGATTAGGCAGTTTCTCGTATTTACAAAATGATCTTTGCCTAAGTCACCTACTCAAAGTTCATTTTAATTTCTTGCCTAAACTTAGGTAAACTTCGTTTTGTAAATACGAAAAATATTTTGCTTAGCTCGCCATTTTCGCTTCATCGAAGTCGAAGTTCTTTTATGAATCTCAGCTTTATTAGTTGCTCTAATTAAAGGTGACAAACGATATTCGAAATTGCAGGCAACGTATTTGCGGAAATGTTGCGCTGAATCGCTATACGTAAAGAGCCTAGATAAATAACATTAATTATGCATACATGAATACGCTGTCACATGTAATAAAATATCTCAGTAATTACATTTCAGTCCAATTTTTACGTGTTAAATTAACAAAAGTAGATTGATTTGTTCTTGTAAAGGCTGCACTTTGCAACCATTACATAGATGGTGTTCTGCATATTTGTGTTAACCCATAAAATAACAATTCCTATGCTCTTTAGAGCATAAAATCTGAGGGGCACTGCCACTGCGCCCGACACCCTGAAACATAAGTTGATAAGTCCCATGTGCCTGTAATTTCACCAGCAGGAAAATTGGTTAATGCAAATTTCGATATAGGTATTATCAATAATTATTACCTTTAAACGTCAAGGGTGTTTTTTTCTGCGGAATACGGAAAGGTCATTAGTGAATAATAAATCAGAGGAAAAAAGTTTCAGTGTCATCATCTCGACGAGCGATTCGTTCCGTGTACCGTTTTGGTTTTCGGGTTTCTCTCAGAGAACAGTTTTAGGAGACTAATATCATGAATATGGCATCACAATATTTTGTATGCCCTTCATTAAATATACATAATTTCATTAAGAAACAAAATTTGTTCATAATATTAACTTTAGAACTATGTAAGTAAAAACTCATGGTACCTAATACGATTTAGTTTAATAAACGTAAACGATTGAACGGGTAAACGATGCCTTTATGGGTAACTTCTTCTTCTTTTTATAAAAAATAAGTGCGCATTTGACCTCCATCTCACTTGATGGAAAGTGACCATGAGGTCGACGATGTAACATGCACACCTAAAATAATGCCTATTCCTAATAATGCCTTGAAAAGGTCCAAGTTACAGCGTTTGGGGAACAGGCCCGCAGTCATGGAGTTCCACTCCATAGCCGTTCGCCATATAAATGTTTAAACGAAACGCTTCGTGCGAATCCTGGGAATATCCACAATGTAGGGGTGGAACCCCAGCCCACGCCTGGTCCCCCGAAGATGGAAAAGGGAAAGCGGAATCAAATTATGCCATTTCATCGCACACTCTCCGTGATACCTATACGTGTAAAATATCAATAACCATGCAACTTTACGGCGGTGTTCAAGGCTCTGCAGCTTCGCCTCTTGACACGCTTTTTGATTGAATCCAAGGTGGCCAGTTGGTGTTTAGCAGAGCCATCCCATAAATGGCACCAGTACTCCATAAACAACTGGACTTATGCTTGGTACAGCTGAAGCAACTGTCTCGGTGTGTTGTCCCTATCTACCGACCCGAGAGATAGGGTTTTCCGAGAGACTATGGGCTCGACGGCAAGACCAGGGTATAGCGGGCGTCCGGGTCAAGCCTTCCGCCAGTGATACGCCTTCGTGGGCGTCTCTGGTGGACCCGGACTTGGCTATGGACTCACTGGGGTTTATGGTTAGCTGCAGAGACGGACATGTTTGTCTGCCCCGGTAGTGTGTGGCCGGGGCGTCTGTCTCGTGCGCAGCTAGCGCGTCTTAGTAGCGGTGTAGTTGAGGGCCTAAGCGAGGAAACGCGCGGGGCACGTGAATTGCACTTTAAGTTGGAAGCTATGTCCGGACATTGTCGCAGGACACTGTGACTGGCATCTCCGGCACTAGACCGGAGAGCTAGTAGAGGATAAAGCTAGATATCCTCCGGTTCCTCCAGCCGCTTAGGTTATTGGGAACTAGAGAGACGTCGTTTTTCGGCGGCGGAAAGTGAGCGTGCCTTACAGCTCCGCCACCAATGAGGAAATTTGGTAGTGGACTCAAAATCGACGGTTTAGCGGTGGCAACCGCTAGTTGTGCAATACGCAACGGGAAGTGAGCGTGCCTACAGCTCCGGTACCTATCTGGAAAATGGGTAGGGTACTGTACGTGAACCCGGGGCAGTTCACCCGAGACACTAGCCTCTCGAGAACCGGATAAAGTCAAGTGACAGACGTCTGTGACAGCCCTGTATACTGGCTGATCTGAGGTCAGAACCTGAACTTATGAGGATCCAGTGCGCGCACAGGTTATAGTTCTCTTCTCGTATACCCTAAGGGTCGGTAGGAAGGGTCACTATAATCAAAACTAATGTAACTAATGTAGAAAGATATGGAGGTGTCCCGGTGTGAAGTAACGCCTCACCTTGGAAAGGATGCCAAGCTTCCTGACTGCATCTTTCACCATGGATTCAATGTATGTATAACATCGAAGTTCAGATTGGACAACAGGTCCATTCCAAGTAGCTGCAGACGGTCGGCTATCGGTATGGATATAGCGCGAAAAGTCGGAGTCGGGTGAAAGGGACTCCGTTTTGTGGAGAACAGACACTCCTGCGTTTTGGTAGCATTAAATTTGACAAGATTGGCATCGCCCCAATCGAAAACTGCCTTAGGAGTCAAATTCAAACGACTAACCATGGACTCCCAACAAAACTGGATTTCTTCTCCAGTGACCCTTGCATCAGTCAAGTACCTGTCCACAACTGAGCTGTAATCAGCATACCCAAAGGGCCCTGGAATTAACATATCTTGATATGAAGCAGAAAGAGAGTTGCGGACAGTACGGAACCCTGAGGAACATCTATCGCCCGATGTTCGGAAGAGTAGCCTTCTAAGACTGCTCGTCGAAGAGCGAATGTTCACTCAAGAAATCCGAAACCAACCAAAGTGGCGCGTGTGCAAAGTGCCTCTAAGTGGATGATTGCTTCTTTTTCTAATAAAACTGGACACGTGGCTACTGTTGCTTTGGAGAATCGTTGTGTAAATAGTGGTTGGTACACGACCATTTGTTTGCCGGAAGTTGTTGACAAAATCCGTAAAAATAACCGTAAACGCCGTATCACCTTGCATCACGATAATGCCAGTTCTTACACGGTCAGACAGACAAATGAATTTTTGAAGGTGAACAACATTGACCTTATGAGCCAGCTCGCGTACAGTCCCGACCTGGCACCTTGCGACTTATTTATTTCCAAAAATTAAGAACCAGTTACGCAGTCAACGATTTTCATCACTTGCAGAGGCTGTGGAAGAGTATGAAAAATATTTTTCAGAGATTGTCACGGAGGAGTGGCATAAATGTTTTCAAAATTTGTTTCATTCGTATGAAAAAGTGCATTAACGCTAACGAAGAATATTTTAAGAAGCAATAAATTCATTTCTGACCATTTATAGTATATTTTTCTTATTCATTCCGGAAACTCTTAGTGCGCGCCACGTAATCAAATAATAACTAGAAGTGTGTTTTGTCTGGTTTTATCAAAGATACTGGAACGAACAGTTTGTGTTCAATTTACAAGTGACCTGGAGAATGAGGGCACTATGCGTAGAGCATAGGCTTTTCTAATGTAAGCAATTGAGAGTTTAGTATCACTTTAAGTTTTATTCCTGGTATTAAAGAATTTATTTGAACGTCCTGTCACGTCGTCATTTAAGGCGAGAAGGAATACTAGGGCTATACTAGGGCTGTGGGTACGCTGGAAACTAGACGCAATCAGTGTAATGTTGCAGCCGCTGTTAACTCGCAACCAAGCGTAATTTGCTGATTGTGAGGACGCTACACGCTACAGGGCTACAGGAGATCTAGCCGAACGTCACCGAAAAAGATTCAAGATCACACACCCACAGACAATATCGTTTTTTGCAAAATACTACAAGGAGACAGCCCCGATATATAATAATTGTCGATAACACCAGTTATGTCCGATAGATCGTGAAGCCCTCGACGGCTAAGTCTAAAAAATTACCCGAAAGAGATCGTTGAGAGCGAGGAATTTTGGAAATAATGTCGTCGTAGCACTTCACGTGGCTATTTGTAATTGCGTATTCGATATATTTTGCCAGCAATCACCATGTCTAGGTAGCATATGTGACAAAGTATTTGCCTTGTTTGCCTATTCGACAAATACAGGAAACACCAATGCGCTGGTTGGTTTCTCGACGCATTTAAAAGGAGCCTAATAGGCAAATGCGCAAGTAAAGCATCCACACTATTATGGTAATATTAATTATATTAACTCCTTAATTAGCTCCATATGTAGACGGTCATATTTGTCAGTGTTTGCATGTTTGTTTGAACGTCAAATATTTTTCCAAGTACAGACGGCAGCATATCATCATCATCACGGCGGATCTTGTTCGGTTGCACTGGACGTGATTTTCGAAGAAAAGTGTATAACATGAAATACTGTTGACTGCACAACAAATCCTCAATAGCGAATACAAATAACCCTTTGAAGTGGCACCACTGGAATTATTTTTCCTGTATATTTAAGTACAAAATATTGTTTACTGATAACAACAATATTAAATATTGTCTTACTTTTTAACCGACTTCAAAAAAGGAGGAGGTTCTCAATTCGACTGTATGTTCTTTTTTTTTTCTTTTTTGTGTATGTATGTTACGCGATAACTCCGGTATTTGTGAACCGATTTTCATGATTCTTTTTTTGTTGGAAAGGGGGTACTTCCATAGTGGTCCCATTTCATTTTGAAGAAAATCATCCACCTCGAAGGGTGGCTGCTCACGCATGAAGATTCATTTTTATAAAGAGCGCCTAACTTTAATTTAGGAGCAATTACTTTAATGGTTGATTTTGCTATTTCTCCAATTCAAGGCGTTTTTCTCTCAATATACTTTGAATAGTGAGAACCGATTTTTATTATCTCCTGTGTCAAGTCCTGTATATAGCGGCGAACTAGGGGATATTTCAATAAAACTTTGCAAATAGACGTAATTCCACGTACTTTTGAGGTCGGTTTATTAGTACTCTGTACTGAGATTATTTCCTATTACAGTAATTGTTTCTTTAAATTACTTTCGTGTACTTGTAAAGTTTTTTAAGGAAATATTGCGCAAATACTAAGGTTGTAAATTAAAAACAAATAAAATTTTTTTGGTAAAACTTGTCTGTAATTCTTTAACATTCCATAAAAAATTACATTAATTAAATATTCGATTACGTGAAATAATTGAAATCAATGGTGGAATAAGAGTTTCATACACATTCTGTAAAGACATTATGGTGTGATTAGCAAGATAGACTACAATTTTAAGTCCATAATTATCTCAGTAAACGTTAAGTAGATGGAGGTGGGTATATAAAATACACGCCAGGGCGGTTGATTCATTGTCTTATAAGAAAACGACAACGACGTAGTGAAAAATATGATGGAAGTCAGGGAATTTCAATCAAACTCAGAATTTCCAAAATTCCTCGACAGTAATGATCCCTTAGGCCATTTTCGGCAAAGGTTTTGTATCCAGAAAAGCGTCATTTACATGTGCGGTAACTCTCTGGGACCAGCTTCAAAGGACGCAGAAGAAACCCTGTATCGAGCAATAGAAAAATGGAAAGAAGAAGGCGTTAAAATCTGGTCCACAGATAACAACAAATATTTCTTTTACTCCAGAGAATTGGCACAATTAATGGCGCCTTTAATTAATTGCGATCCTGAAGAAATTGCTGTGACAGAATGTGTGACTACAAATATTCATCAAGTCATTGGCACCTTCTTTAAACCTACTAAAATTCGATACAAAATCATCGTGGATGATATCAACTTTCCGACAGATCGTTACGCTATCGATGGACAAGTCCGGTTGAAGGGATTAGATCCAGTGGAGGTCGTCAAAGTCGTTAAAGCGAAAAGTAATTACTTAGACGAAGATGATGTCATCAATGCGATGACTGAAGACGTCCAAATGGTGTTTCTACCAACAGTTTATTACAGAACAGCCCAAATAGTTAATATGAAAAAAGTTACTGAAGCTGCCAAAAAAAGGGGCATCGTTGTGGGTTGGGACTTTTGCCATGCAATTGGAGCTATAGAAATAGACTTAAAGTTACTAGACGCTGATTTCGCTGTTTGGTGTACATACAAATATCTGAACGGAGGGCCAGGATCGACAGCTGCGCTTTATATTAACAAGAGACATTTCAAAATGCTTCCAGGACTACCGGGATGGTTTGGGAACAAGTTTGAAACACAATTCTTGCTTCGGCAAACATTCGAACATCAAGAAGATGCAAATGGATGGCAAATTGGTACTCCAACGATTTTCTCAAGCGCGCCTTTGGAAGGCAGTCTTAGGCTATTTCAAGAGGCTGGAATACAGAATATTAGAAAAAAGTCTTTACACTTAACGGCATATTTGATGTACCTTGTAGACGAAAAATTGACACATTATGGTTTTACCATTGGGAACTCTAGAAATGACACAAAAAGAGGCGGTCACGTGTGTTTGGAACATAATGAAGGTTACAGAATTAGCAAGGTATTACTGGATCGTGGAGTTATACAAGATTTCAGGGACCCAAATGTAATTCGTCTAACACCCACGGCTCTTTACACAAGTTATTTTGAAGTTTACCGAATAGTAGAAATTTTGGAAGATATAATGAAGGGTGCAGCTTACAAGGAAATCAGCACAAAGAAAACAATCGTTGTTTAGACGATACTGCTGAAGGATTTTTGTTTGTTGTACTCTTTACCATAAAGGTATCATCGATAGGCAGTCCCCTTTGTCAAGGCACAAGTAAAGAAAATTAATCGCACAATAAACACTACTTTTGAATCGACGTTTTTTCATTTCTATTATCGAATTCACCGCGTCAAGTACTCTACAAAATATTATTTAGTCTTGCACCATACAAACATGCAAAAAAATATCTGCTGCATACAGTCTATTTTCATACATAAGCCTATTTTTTACATTAATTGCTAGTTTTCTATTTTAACACATATTTTTCACAATGATCACATTGATTCAATTTATAGGTTATGACTGTAGTGTATTGACATAATGTACCATAGACAATACATGTCACACTGTGGCCCGCCGTTCCCGCCGTGACGACAGGAGACAGTGGCATGAGCGGGCGTGTGTCGCAAGTGTACGTGAAGTAACAAACGTTGTTTTATTGAGCTAACCCCCAACAAATGCCACAATGGCGACCCTGCCAAAAAACGTGAATAAAATTAATAATATTTCACTATGTAGTCGCTTTATCAGCTTTGTTTCAATTTTGTTTGAAAAGAAAAAAGAAATGGAGATATGTAGGTACCACGATTTCAAATGATTAGAAACCATTTCATTAAAGCATATAAACGTAATATCTGCATATTGGAAGTATGGGTTATGATTTCAAGTGATTTAAGTCTATTAGATAACATATATACAAACATATTATCCATACCTATATCACCGTGTACTACATGCGCGTCATATTCTATTAGCTCGAGAAATGATACAAACGAACTGACACCGTTGTCGAAACTAGTAAAAACGCAAGTGCCTGCTAATACTTACCAAAATAAATATTCTAGTTGTTCTGTAGTCGGTACTGCCTCTACTGAAATTGCTGACTTACACTGTAAATTAAGTCATCACAAGTAATCTACTACATAAAATATAATGTGTGTATAACGGTACACGAACATTGATAATCAGAGTAGATTTGTTGCTTAAGTTTAAGCAAAATAGATCTTGAAAATATTTTTTTTTTAAATTAAAATCAAACATATGTTGAGTAACTTTACATTATTAATGCAACAGGGCAAACCCTTTCTTTCCCAATACGGCATGGTACGCAAATCGCATTTTATATTTTTCTCACTATATTAAAATACTAATTACGTACCTAACTAACGTAACCTAATGAGTGGTTATTCTGTGCTTTCTAAATCTGTAATAGGATAATCATTAAGTCGTGGTGTTGGAAATAATAATGTAAAATCTAGAAGTAAAAATGTTTCCAACAAATACAATATTGGTAAATCCGACTACACAACAACAAATAGCGCCTGTAAATATAAGATAATTAGAACAACAAATATGAAGGAGTGAAAACTCCATGAGTGCCACATAAACTGGAAATTACAAGTAGTGTCAGCTTAGGAAATAGATATGATCATAAGCAAGAAGGAGCGAAATGTCTTTGAGTTACTCATAGACAGTGACTATACCCGTTTATGAAATTGACAATGTATGGGGTCGGCGTTCGATCCTATATTATATCGACGGTCCAGGGATATATGTGGTTGGTACAAACGGAACACTCACTTCATTATAATATTTATTATAAAAACTACATGTTACGAGGGCATACAACAGAATGCGTCATCAATCGATGAGCGACCATATATCTAAGTATGAAATGCTTGCATAATATATTGTTGCAATTAACATGAGTATCGAAATGAGTAACTAAAAAATATAAACCGGGTCGCATATAAAATTGGATGTAATTATGACAATGTGGTTTTAAATTTAGAAAGTTATAGTTCTTGCAGTAATCGGAGTCCGTATAAACCATTACTTAGTGTTGTTTTGCAAAAACCTATTGTGTGCAATTAAGTACATTTTCATATTGTACGATTATGTAGCGTAAATTGGAATGTTTTGTTTGTAAAATTAAAAATAAGGTATTTAATTAATAACTATTGTAACTATAGTGAAATAATAAGGTGGTTTGCATCAATATTAGACATTACTGGTTGAAGACTGTACCTTTTTTTTTTTTTTTTTTTACCTACCACCTCAGTCAACCGTGACCATGGGACCTGTCAAGGGCCCGAAACGTCGGTTTGTGTGAAAAAACAAATATACGCGATTTAAATCCGGAAAAATAGTTTCATTTCCTATGTGTAACAATCGCGAAAACCTAAGAACTCGATAAATTGTAATTGTTTAATATAATTCATGCCGTACTGTATAATAAAAACTCATACTTCATAGTATCAAGCACAAATCCGGTCGAGTATGGAGTACTGCTGCCACCTTTGGGATGTCTCTGCTACGTACCAACTGGCCACCTTGGATTGGCAAGAGGCTTATAGGTGACTCGAAATTAGTAGAGGCGAAGCTTACCTTAGCTGCTAATCGGTATTTTACAGGACATATCACGGAGAGTGTGCGATGGAATTACACGATTTAATTCCGCCTTCCCCTTTCCATCACCGGGGGAGTAGGCGTAGGGTTAGATTTCACCCCTATGTTGTGGATATTCCAAAGATTCGCACGAAGCGTTAAGCTAAGCTTCCACATATAAATGGCGAACGGCTATGGAGTGGAATTCCCTGCCTGCAGACTTGTTCCCTGAACGTTATAACTTCGACCTTTTCAAAGCGAGAGTGAATAGGTATTAAATAGGTGTGCATGCTCCATCGTCGACCTCATCGTCACTTTCCATCAGGTGAGATGGAGTAGACATGTGTAAGTAATGTGAGTAATATTACAAAGGTGATATCACGCGACAGGGTACTGTTATATCACGCATCACTTCGGAAAAATATGTATTACTCATAACATTACCCATTACATAGACCATGTCGGGGTGCTCTGGGAGTTTCCCAAAATGAACTAAATATAGTAAATATCTATATTAATAGCGCCACCCAGCAAATTTTCGACGTACTACTTGATCGGACATTGCTAACCGTGCCGTAGGGTTACGTAGCGCTGCTGCCAGGTGTCGCTACTAACACCCATTACGCGAAACAGTACTCGGCGTGATGCAATACTGTGATGCTATGATGCAATGTAATGCTAACATCACGCGTGATGTTCTCATTACGCGTGATGTTAGCATTACGCGTGATGTTAGCATTACGCGTGATGTTAGCATTACGCGTGATGTTAGCATCACGGAGTGATGTTAGCATTACACATTACCCGCGTGATGCATCGCTCGGAAACAGTACGCGCGTGATGCATTACCCGAAACATTACCCGCGTGATATTACCTGAAACAGTACACGTGATGCTTATATTACGCGTGATGCTTAGAACATCACGGAGTGATGTTTGTTTAATACTATTATGCGAAATGCAATGTAAATGCATCTAATTTGGAATATTGCAGTAGAACGATGTTTGTATTAATACCCCAATTATTTCATAATTTACTAAATGGTGTAAAAGGATGGAACCGTAGACAATTTAAAATGAAATTGCATAATTTGTTAATCAGTGCTTGTGCTTGGTTAAATATATTTCGATCTTTCTTGGTAATCTAGAAGGAGATGGATACGCTTTCATACAATCAATCCAAGATGTAAAAACATGAAGGTAGTATCAGTTAATTGCGTAGGTATTGATGTACCATCACTGAAAATTCTGCGAATTGAACTGAAAGCAGAGCTATAAGAGATTTAGTAAAAGTGAGGTTATGTAACAACTTATAATTAACGTCTGATTTTTGGAGTGCATTTGTTATTTTACAACTTACTAGATGGTGTAAACGAATTAAACAGTAGACATTTAAAATGAAATTGCATAACTTGTTAATCATTGCTTGATTACGTGGCAATTTATAATGTAAAATTTAACCAGGGTGAGTGTGGGTTGCCAGACGGTTCGTAATATTTCGTAATTTTTGTTTGATTCTCTCTAGTAACATGTAAGTAGATCTTGTTTATAATGCAAGTTTATGTTCTAGAAATGCGTTTTATAGGTTGTTTTAAAACGCATCGCTTTTTTAACCGACTTCAAAAAAAGGAGGAGGTTGTCAATTAGTCAATGGTTTTTTTTTTTTTTTTTTTTTTTT